AGGAAATAATTAGTCCAAAGAACTAATGGACCCTGCCAACCTCAACCTCCACAATAGTGAGACTAGATGAATTAGATGGTGCCTGGCTATCACTGCCACAACTCTGAAAGGGACTGTATTGAGGGTCCTGGATAGAGTGGCAGAAAAATGTGGAACAAAACTCAAAATGATACAGAAGAAAAAAAAAAAAGACAAGGTTAACTGGGTAGCAACTGATGGAACCCCTGAGACTATGACTGTTGATCACCCTTTAGTCTGGGAACTCAGATCACCTCTGTGGCTCAACTTTCAGCCAAACAACCAGGGAAATAGCACTTCTTAGGACAGTTAACCATTGGAGATCAAATGGGTAACATTTGCCCAGGGACAAAGTTCAGAAGTTAGGAAGAGAGGCAAGAAGGACAAATGTAAATGGGAAACACAGGGAGGAAGTGGGATGAAAGCTGTTACATTGTGGGGATTATAATCAATGGCATGAAACAAAATGTGTATGAATTGTTGAATGGAAAACTATTTTGCTCTGTAAACCTTCACCCAAATCACAATAAAATATTAAAAAACAAAATAAAAGAATTAAGTAGTAAAAAGTGAATTAAATAGATAAAAATAAAATATACCCATATGGAGAATTCTATACTGCAATGGAAAACACACGCATTTTTAACTGTGCAAGGAATAGTTACAAAATTGATGAATATTTTATTTAATAATATTTAAATAATAGACTCAAGAGAGGTTTATGAAAGATATAAGCATGAGAAATATGATTGATAAATATTATTAATGAATTGAAAAGTCTGAGTGGGAAAAGAAGAGTAGTTAAGCCTAGACGACTTTCCTGGGACTTATTTTTCCCTTTGGAAATTATAGTACAAGAATGCCTTCCATCCATGGTATGTGTATATGTGTATTTATGAACTTACAAATAGTAAGTTTCTATATAAGTATTAGTTTTCAGTAATCAGATTTTTAGAGAATATTGGCCTACCAAGGTATTTTATAGGGAAAGCTTGGATAATCAGTAGATCTGCTTTCTTTAGTATTTCTACATAAATCTGACATTAAAATAAAAAATCTCTACTAATGATCCTAGTTATGATCAAGGTTTCTCTACCAATTTAGACACTCAATGCATGTTCTATGTATTGATTTTTAAATTTTACTGGCAACCAAAGTTGATGAACACAAATTACAGGAAGGTTAAACAAGGAAAAAATTACAAAACAATGAAAGAGAATATGCCTTTATTTGCATGCTAGCAAATGAGAATTGAGAGCTTTCACTCAACATCATTATGAACTATTTCAGCCTATGGCAAGGAGACACAACATGTGACTGGGAGTTAATTTGATCTGCTTTGGGAATAACAATGTTTTTCATGACCATAACATTGAATCCACCCATTAGCATTCTCGGTACTTTCCTGCTTGACCGTGGTCATAGAATTTAAAGGAGAGTAAGAACTTGATTGCACATTCAGAAATTGGTGCACATAGAACTTTTAGGTCAGGATATTAAGGAACCACGAGCAGTGATTTTAGGTGTGGATGTTTTATTTTCCCCAGACATGATAAGTTTAAGTTTACTACAGGGCATTGTTGCTACCTTATTACTAGTAGAATTGATTCTTGGACATGTTGCTAATGGTTTCATAGCACTGGTATACTGCATTGACTGGATCAAGAGACAAAAGATCTCCTCAGCTGATATAATTCTCACTGCTCTGGCAGTCTCTAGAATTGGTTTACTCTGGGTAATATTAATAAGCTGGTATGCAATGACGTTTAATTCATTTATGTGTAGGTTAAAAGTAGTTATAGTTATTGCCTGGGTGGTAACCAACCATTTTAGCATGTGGCTTGCTACTTGCCTCAGCATATTTTATTTGCTAAAAATAGCCAATTTTTCTAACCTTATTTTTCTTCACCTAAAGTGGAAAGTTGAAAGATTGATTCTGGTGATCATGTTTGGAACTTTGGTCATTTTGGGTTTTCAACTTGCAATAGTAATCAGAGGTGAAAATATGTGGAAGGATGATTATGAAGGAAACTTGACTTTGAAGACCAAATTGTGTGACATTGAGCATCTTTCATACCTCGTTGGATTCAATCTAGCAGTCTTCCTACCCTTTACTACTTCCCTGACTTCTCTTCTACTACTAATCTTTTCTCTGGGGAAACATCTCAAGAAGATGCAACTCAATGGCAAAGGACTCCAAGATCCCAGCACCAAGGCCCATGTAAAAGCCATGCAAACTGTAATTTCCTTCCTCTTGCTATTTGCCACTTATGTTCTGTGTCTAATCATATCATCTTGGAGTTCTAAAATGCAGCAGAGCAAACAGATTACCATGTTTTGTCAGGCTATTGGAATCATCTATCCTTCAAACCACTCATTTATCCTGATTTTGGTAAATCAGAAGCTAAGACAGGCCTCCCTGTCAGTTCTGTGGTGGATGAGGTGCTGGCTGAAAGAAAGGAAATCCTCAACTCCATAGATTGATAAGAAGATCATCATACATCTTCCCATTGAAAATGAACTGATGAAGTACTTGTAAGATATTTTACACTTCCTCCTGTTTTTTTCCATAGTACGTGTTCCTGTAAAGCCAATAAAACTCTATGGGGCAGTTCTGTTCTGTCACATAGGGTTGCTATGAGTCAAAATCAACTCCTTGGCACCCAACAAAAGCAATAATAATGTAATTGTGTAATGGAATGGTTTTTAAAAATGTAAAAGTCTTTTGACTTGAAAATCTTTCACCTAAGCTTATCATTAAAACACATATGTATATATATACTTTATTCTTAGTAAACAACTTAAATAATTAAATGATTTTAAGAAATTTCTTAGAATCATGAAGCCTTCTGCATTTCACACACATATTCTATGTTATCATCTTCCAATTGAAAAATTCATGATCTGTGTGCCTTATCAGGAATTGATAACTTATTTCTGGCAACCATTGGTATTTTCTATTGTAATTTTTAGCAGTGTATTTAGATTTCATTGCATGAACTTCCAAAGTTTTTGATGCTTAAGATGTTAAATAGTTAATTACATATTGATTATGTATGTTTGAGGTATATTTTATTCCATAAAGAATTCTTTATTCAATTCATGGGTAAATAGAAAGCAAAATTGTTGCTAAGAAAGAATTTAGACTAGAAAATTCAAGAGAGACAATCATATTTAGAGTAAATTTGTATGTTTGTGACTAAACAGTACTGAAGAAGATTAGATTTTGTACAAGTAGGTGAAAAGTTTAGGAAAAAAGCAATTTCTGCAATAGGAATGAAGAAGAAAAACCATGATTGTGGCCTGTTTTTATGCTGTTATAAGTTTGCTAATGCAGTAAGGAAAGATATCTCTTCAGTTTTTGAGTGCATAAAAGACTTTACAATCTGAGATTGGATGTCAGATATTTTTGTTTTCCCCTAAATCACCTCTGGGTCCCTGAATTTCCAATCACCTCCTCTATTTTCCATCTTGAAAATTCCTTTTGAACATCAGGTAGAAGACTTAAATCTTCTCTATCTTAATAAAATTACTCAATATAAGAATAATAAAGAAATTATGGTACATAAACTCAGTGAGCAAATCTGCATGCATTAACATGGTGTCCATGAAGTCTATGTATTATAGAGAATTTTGTAAAATCTGTTTATTATAATCTTTAGACAATGATGTAACAAAAGTATTTTAACATATTCATTGATAGTTTTTGTGTAAGAAAGAGAAGGATAACCTTGTTCAACAGCTAATGTACATGACTTTATTAATTCTTTTTGTTACAAAATTTTAACAAAATATCTCAACCTTAAGAGAAATGATCTCCACATGCTATTCATTTTATTGTTTATTATCCATCTCCCTCTATGCAATGTAATCTTAAAAATAGCATGTCTGGCTTGTTCCTTGCTGACTTCTCAGGACTTAAAAGAAAGAACCATATGGAATAATTCCTCATAAATTATTTGTAATAAATAAATAGATGAATGAACGAATGAACTGTATTATAATTGGGAAACCAATAAAAATGAAACCTATCACAAAACGTGAAGGTTGCATGGATTTCCCTGTCCTGGTATTATGTTGAGTTGATAAGTAGTAGCATTTTTCAGAGCAAATGTATGGCTATTGCATAATTCTAGAAAATAGGCTTGACACAGTCATATTATGCATGTGCAGTGGAGACAAAATAGAACATAAAAATTAAATGACACTATCATAATAGTTTTTTAAGAAGCATGTAACTTATTTTGGTGTATTTGTATTTTTTGTTTCTATTAGGAACTATATCTTTTTATTATATTTTCTAACTAGCTATTGCATCTGATAGAAATGGTACTTGATTTTTTAAATTGAGTTAGTAGCATGCTGCCTTAATAATACGCTAATTTAATGTTGTTTTTCTTAGTATCCTTTCTAAATAGATGCTTATTGCCATATTATAAACTCACAGAAAAATGAACAGATAATAATTGTACCTCAATGAATATTTTATCCTAGGGCTTCTGAAACCAAAGCCAAAGGCAAGGATTAAAATGATAACCTTTATTTAGGACGGCAAATTCAGTGCAGCAGTGAGGAAGACATAAATAAAAGAAATAAAGGCTAGAGAAGATGTGATACAATTTAATGATGTATTACTACCTTTTCACGATGAGTTCTGAGATAGAATGTTGGTTGACACACATAACTTCTTGAGAAGTGTTACTTGTGTTATAAGGAACAACATCTGGTGTTAGTCCCTGAAAAAAGAAAGGGAGGTGTTTTGGTTACCTCTGCCACTCTGACAGCAATATATCACAAATGGCTTGAAGAAACAGGAGTTTATTGTTACAGTTTTTTGAGGCTAGCAGTCTGAGTTCAAAGTGCCAGGCTCTAGGGGCTGGGTGAAAGCCCCTCAATTCTGGGCTTCAGCTCTGCCTCCTGCTCCCAGCCCTCTGAAGCTGGAGGGTTTCTTCACTCAGGCAGCTGCTCACTACTGAAGCCAACAAACCCAGGGCCAACAAGTAAAAAGGCACAGTCCCAATATTACCAAACAACATAACAGGCCACTAATTCAAGTCCAGAAAAAGTCCCAAGATGAGCAGGGCATGGCAGGCTGCTGAACAATGACATGGCTACATGTAGGGTTTAAGCATGTCAAAAAGCTAGAGAGCTTCCTCAAAGCTACTTATTATATACTAGAAGCAGACCACATCCCTAAAGCAGCTACTCAGCTGTTCCAGTAGATTCCACCATGGAACTGATTGGGTCTCACCATGGGGAAGAACTACATCCAGCTGCCCAGCCACTCAACCAGGCCCAGCCAAGCTGACATATTACCTTAATTACCAAGGAGGGGACTGTGTGAAGAACAATTATGAATCTGTGAAACATCTCATAACATAGAAGAACCTAGAGGACATTATGCTGAGTGAAATTAAGGAGGTCTGGTGGTGCAATGCCTAAGGCATCTGACTGCTAACCAGAAGGATGGTGGTTCAAACCCACCAGCCACTCCGCAGAAGGAAGACTGGGTAATCTACTTCCACAAAAATTTACTGCCTTGGAAACCCAATGGGGGTCACTATGAGTTGGAATCAACTCGATGGGAGTGATGGCTGAGTGAAATTAGCCAAATATTGTATCAGACTACTATTGTAAAAAGTCAAGAAAAGTGTTTCACCTAAAAATAAATATTCTTTGATGGTTACCAGGGATGGGAGGGAAAGAGAGGGTAACTATTAACTAGAGGGTAGACATATATTAACTTGGGTGAAGCGGAAGGCAAAAAATAAGAAAAAAAGAAAGAAGAAAGGATAAGGGGGTCCCTCATCTCTCTTTTCTATTTCCCATTGGTCAAGTTTACCCAAAATAGAAATAACGCGTCTTTTTTTTCTGCCTTACATCATCCGGCCCCCTGGTGGTCATAAAAATGAGATCTCACTGTGTAGTGCTTCATTCAAGTTCAAACTGGAAGGATGATCTGGGTCAGGCAGGGTGCTGACCAGGAGAGAATAGCAGGGAGTCTAGGGAATCTGATGAAGCCACAGTTTTGCATCTAATACAATCCTCTCATGCCCCCAGTCAAGCTGACTTTATCAATGTTTGACCTGTTCATTGGTACAGAGTCTTGCCTATAAAAGGGTTTCCTGTTTGGTTTAATGCTCTTCGGTCATAGTTTCATTTTTCATGCAGAGCATTTGAAAGAGAGGATGGCCTTGCACTGACTCACTAGGGATTTTCTCTCCCACTGTCTGCCAGTTTCAAGCACACTATCCTTGTCTCTTACACATACTTCTAATAACTTTTTTATTTTAAATTTTATTGTGCTTTCGGTGGAAATTTACAAAGCAAATTTGTTTTACATTCAACACTTCGTGCGCATTTGATTTCACGTCCTGATTATTATCTCTGACCGTAACAAACTCTCCCCCCCTCCCTCCCTGTGACTACCCATTCCCTGTGCCCTTGTTAACTATGCATTTCTGTCTGTCCAGCTTTTCTTCTTTGTGAATGCTGCCCCTCTGGTGTCTCATGGCTGATTGCTCTAATTGGTGCCTCTCCCTAGAGTAGGTGAGTGCATTGCCCTGTTGTATGTGTTCTTTACGTAGGTCTTTCTACTGTTGTGCTGAGAGCCAATCCATGGCAGTGAGTCCATTTCTAGGCCCAAAGGGTAACCTGGGCCATAATCTTGGGGATTCCATCAGACTCTATCCGACCAGTAATTCTGGTCATTTTTGTGTTTTTGAATTTTGTTCCACATATTTCCTCCCACTCTATCCAGGATCTCCAGTTTTGATCCCTTTCTGAGTAGTTGGCATTGGTAGCCAGGCACCAACTAGTTCTTCTGGTGTCAGGGTCACGAATCCTGAGGTCCTTGTGGTCCATCTTATCTTTGGGCTAATTGTTTCCAGATGCCATTGATTTTTTTCCACTCTTCTTTGATTCATATGAGAGGAGAACAATGGTTGCATCTTAGATGGCACTCAAAAGCTTTTAAGGTCTTAAAAAGTATTCACTACTCACCATAGTGGGTTGTAGAACAAGACTTTTATACACTATGTTGTGCCAATTGAGCGTGATGTCCCCCAAGACTATGGTCCAGAGTTGGCAGGCCCAGTGATTCTTTCTCTCGAGGTGTTTGGTTGTCTCTGAGAAGTTACTCCAATTCTGCCTTCTATTGCTTCTGTAATGTATGTGGCTAATTTTGTAGCACAAGTGCACATGTAAGATTATCTTCAGCTAAATCTATTCTTGGTCTAGGGTATATTCCTATTCGCCTACTCCCACCTGATCTGCTCACCTGTCTGTGCATTTATCTGTAGCCTGGTGCTTGGTGTTAGTGGTAATGCTTGTTGTTGTTATGTGCCATTGAGTCAAACTCGACTCATAGCGACCCCTCCTTGGGTTTCCGAGGCAGTATCACTATGGAAGTAGATTGCCCAACCTTCCTTCCGAGAAATGGCTGGTGGGTTTGAACCTCCAGCCTTCTGGTTAGCAGTC